GGGGGGTGTCCGGTGCCTTGCTCAAGGGCACCACGGCAGGGCAGGAGGTGAACTGGGACCTCTCCAAGTAGCAGTCCACACTCCATATTCAGGTCTGTTCGGGGACTTGAACCGGCGACCCTACGGCTCACAGTCCAATCCCCTACAGACTGAGCCTCTGCCGCAACACATTTGTGTATGTATTGATGTAGATAAATATATTGCCAATGTTACTGATCGTGATACCTAAATCATTATAGATTACATGACTTTTATATGAAAACGTCTCTATGTTGGCAGTTATTTGGGATTCATGCACACGTCACTAATTATTCTAAAACCCTGTAGTTTACATCGTTGGTATGTAGTCTGATTCACCGTGTTATTTATTGAAACAGATCTAATATAATAATGTAGTTAATAGTCTTTTCTGAAAAGTACAAAATCATTGAAGCGGTGCAATAAAAAAATAAAAATGTTTTGATAGGAACTTTGTGGGATTAAAGTCTGTGTGTCTCAATGATGTGTCTTTAATGAACCAGTCAAAGGAAAAGAGTCTGCAATAATCTGTTTGCTTTTCACATGACGTTTCATAAAGTAAAATGCCATCACTTCACACTTCTTTTCTTCCCTACTGGTTATACTGCTACATTTGTTTAAGCTGTAAATGATTTTTGCATGAATTAGCTCAATGTTTCGTTTTGGGAAATATTGAATATTACCGCTGCTAAAGAGTGAAGTGCCACCACGTTCAGATTACACATTAGAGGTCGCTTGTTAATTAAAATACACTTAGAAGTTTAGAAACAGTAAAATTGTCTTTTAATTGTATGCATTTATTTGGTATATTGTTTTCATAATTTACTTTGTGGGGTTTTATATATGTTGTTTATTTTATAGTTTTATTTTGGACCACCCGTTTTAAATTGTTTTTTTAATATTCATTGTTTAAGTCTATGCAATGATGTGAATATAGATTGCAAAGTTTCAGGATTAGTGATTCTTAATACCAAAAACGTTATATAGTTTTCCAACATTATTATATATTGAATATATTAACCCTTATAAGGAAAGTTATTGTAGCTTCAAATGTAGAGAAGAAAGAAGTACAACATTCCTACGAATGCTCAGTGTTGATCACAAACGACAGCCAATCATGTGCGAGCAACAGCACAGTCTGATTTGCATCAAGCGAATATAAAGAGAAGTCCGGAACAGCAGCGAGGTATCCTTTCGGTTAAACCCCAAGAAGAGACATCATGCCTGAAGCAGCCAGCGTGAAAGCGCCCAAGAAGGGCTCCAAGAAAGCCGTCACCAAGACCCCCAGCAAGACCGGCAAGAAAAGGAGGAAGTCCAGGAAGGAGAGCTACGCCATCTACGTGTACAAAGTGATGAAGCAGGTGCACCCCGACACCGGCATCTCCTCCAAGGCCATGGGCATCATGAACTGCTTCGTGAGCGACATCTTTGAGCGCATCGCCGGGGAGGCCTCCCGTCTGGCTCACTACAACAAGCGCTCCACCATCACCTCCAGGGAGATCCAGACCGCCGTCCGCCTGCTGCTCCCCGGAGAGCTGGCCAAGCACGCCGTGTCTGAGGGCACCAAGGCCGTGACCAAGTACACCAGCTCCAAGTAAACCCTGCTGCTGATGGACCAACAACACAACGGCTCTTTTAAGAGCCACCCACTACTTCTACAGATGTATTCCTCGGTTTTGAATAAGTTTACAACTTGATGCATAATCCAAGGATCCTATTCTTAAATCCCTTAAATATGAAATGCATTATGTTTCTCACATGTTGATAGTTTACTGAGCCTCGTTGCAGCTCGCCCCATAATGGCTCAGTTAAAACACAATGTATCAATACTTTGAAAAATAATAAGTATATATAAATATAAAACAGGGTTTAACTATATCAAATCCTGAGAATGTGTTTTCACATTTCTGTATCACTAATTAATACAGACTTGTTTTCCTCTGTGAAATAAGGATCTCCAAATTCTTACTTAGTCAGCACTAAAGCACTTTGAGCATAGGTTTCCCTGCAGACTTAGTTTCAGTGGATACCCATTAAGTATTTTTGCTCGAAGCAATCAAAGAGAAATGTCAGCTCAGAGTTTTAATAA